CTGATCTCCATTACCATCCAGGATTATTCTGTGACTCATCTGTGGTCTATTTCTCACCGCACTCCAGACCAGAATCCCAATATAATAAGATGGGTACTGGTATGACCTTTGGATGGCACCGTGTGAATCCAAGTATAGAAGCAGTCACCTGCACACCAAGGTCCAACAAGTAAAATGCCTTTATTGAGACATTAAACATACATTGTGGCACTAGTGGAAAGCAACTCTTTAGAACCATAAAAGGTTGTTTTATCAGGCAAACATAGTGTCCTCTGTGGTCCTGTCTACTTATCTGCTCCTGCATTGACCCCTCCGCTTGTTATCTTACTACAATTTGTGCCTGTGGCTCTAGTACGTTCTGCCTGCAAGTTGCTGATCCTTCCTGTCCTCGACTCTGTCTCTGCCTGCCATATTGGTACCCTCTTACCAGGCTGTTTCCTGACCCTGGCTTGTGCCTGTTCTTTTCTGTGACCCACATCTCCAGCCACCTCCAACTATGTGACAACAGCATGCATGAGTTCCATTGACACCAGTGGCATCACTATCCACCAATAAATGAGTCACTCCTTCATCCCCGCACTACTGGTCCCACTACCCAGGGGTTCTTGGACTAGAACAGGACTAGGACTACTGGTCCCACTACCCAGGGGTTCTTGGACTAGAACAGGACTAGGACTACTGGTCCCACTACCCAGGGGTTCTTGGACTACAGCAGGACTAGGACTACTGGTCTCACTACCCAGGGGTTCTTGGACTAGAACAGGACTAGGACTACTGGTCCCACTACCCAGGGGTTCTTGGACTACAGCAGGACTAGGACTACTGGTCTCACTACACAGGGGTTCTTGGACTAGAACAGGACTAGGACTACTGGTCCCACTACCCAGGGGTTCTTGGACTAGAACAGGACTAGGACTACTGGTCTCACTACCCAGGGGTTCTTGGACTACAGCAGGACTAGGACTACTGGTCTCACTACACAGGGGTTCTTGGACTAGAACAGGACTAGGACTACTGGCCTCACTACCCAGGGATTCTTGGACTACAGCAGGACTAGGACTACTGGTCTCACTACCCAGGGGTTCTTGGACGATAGCAGGACTAGGACTACTGGCCTCACTACCTAGGGGTTCTTGGACTAGAGAGGACAAGACTGCCTCATCATCTTGGGCTCCACATCAAGATTGGTGAAAGCCCTGGCCTAATACTGAGCCAGTGGTGATTAAGTTACAAGATGCATTTTGATAAATGTGAACAAGCCCAAAATTAGGCCACAAATGTAGCTCTGATTTTACATTTGCCATATCTAATACAAGCATTCCTTGTAAAATGCTCAGATCAATGTCTATCGTTGTATGAGATGAGCATACTTCTGCTATCCTCTATGGCCTCCCAGGGATCAATGGGTTACAGTTTCCCTCTACTGCCATCCAAGGAATAGCCCAATTAAAAATGATTTGGTGTCACCAACTTTCACAAGATCATTTACATCCCTTTACAGCTCTGTTCATGTTCGGTTTCATTCCTCCAAGAAATATTTCCATAATTACAATCTCATGCTCAAGCGCGTGGGAGAAATCTTTGTTCCATTCTTGAAACTCTTACCATTTGAAGTGATTTCCAACTACAATGGAGTTCAAAACGCCCCAGCACCCTTCGAGCTGCTATGAATGCATTAGAGGCCTTTATGTACAGTCAGCACACATCTATTAATACATGCATTGCCATTCCTATCCACACACTATTCAGATTTGCTAGCAACCTTATTTTAATTGGCTGGTGCTTAGACCTCTTTTTTACTTGATCCTCATAAGCTCATAAACAATTATTATAATTATTATTATTATTACATAGTATTTATATAGCGCCAACAGTTTGCGCAGCGCTTTACAATGTAAGGAAGACATTACAATTAAAATACAATTCAAGAAAAGATGGTAAGGATGGCCCCGCCCCTGAGGGCTTACAATCTGAAAGAGGAGGGGGAAATGATACATGAGGAGGTAGCTGTGTGGGGATGAATTGTTTGAGAATGTGATGAGCTAAGATTAGCTAAGAGCTCAGTGATATCAGGTATTATATTAAATGAATATTTAAAAAAAAAAACATTTGGTAGAGCAATGCCCCGAGGTTACAGGAAACAAAGGGACCCAAGACATAAAAATCTTGAGTAATTAAAGTCTAATAAAGGATATCTCATGTTTGAAAACATCAAAGTATGAAAACCAGATGACTCCTGGGCACTCACCCCTGCACTTCCTTTCCTCTTTCTCCTCCACACTACTACCTGCTCCTTTTTACTCTCTCTTCCTTTCTTTTCTTTCCCGCCTTCTCTTGGACCCCCCAACCTTTTTTTCATCCTCCCCCTGCTGCCCGATTCTATCTCCTGCCTTTAGGACCGTCTTTAACGCAGGGCAAAAGGGGTGGCCCAGGGCTCAGTCATTGTTGTGGGGCCCAAAGCAGCTGCCCCTTGAGCAGGTCCTGCGCTGCAAAACTCTTGCCACTGGCCCTGCATCTCAGCACTGACAGTAGATCGCTGGATGATCACAGAGCAGGTAACACACAGAGAAGAGCTGGAGGGTGGACGTCCTCCCCCTCCATGCTGTGTGTATGTGTGTGCTGTAAGGGGCGGCTCTGCTTTGGCCCGGACGCTGATGTTCACTGGTCTTTGCACCTGGATGGGGATGAGGGAGCCTGCTGGATGAGGGGGACAACAGCCTGAATCAGGGCAGCAGGAACATTGAGTGTCTGATGGGAAGGCCCTGCATGTCTGTACTGGCTTCTGCATCCTGCATGTGTGTATTAGGGAACACTGAACGTCCAGAGAGAGGGGTCACTATGCTGCTTGTCTGTGTGACGGGGGCCACTACATGCTTTCCATGTACATTTGGTGGGGGACACTACACGCTAGTCAGTGCTAGCGTACGGCTGCATAGACAGCCATCTGAGGGCACCGGGGGGAATGCACCTTCACCTGTGTACGCATAAATCCTTCCACTGTCCCTGCCCTTGAGCCCGCAAAAGATACACACGTGCCACTCCTCTGTTTACTATGCGATCGGTATTGCATAGTGTTGCTCCGCCCCTGTTGTATAGGTGTGGGGGGGTTGGTTAGGGGGTAGGGTGGGTAGGAGTGGGGGGGCCCAAGAAAATGTTTTCTCAGGGTCCAATCAGTATTAAAGACGGCGCTGTCCTGCCTCCATCTCCCGGCTCGCCCCAATATCCCTCATACATGCCACTTCCAACCTAGCCACCACATCCATGCTACTTAATCCATAAACCAAGCAACCTCCTCTGAGTGGCCTTTTACCTATTATTTGTTACCCAGCAGTACCCCCATGTCCCACTTTTCCCCCATGACCTACTCTGTTGTGGTTCGATTCACCACTCTTCCGGAATTCCCCCTTCCTTTCCCTAAGTTGACTCTTTGCACCATTATAAAGTTTACTGTACCCATGTGTATAACATTAATATTACAACTTTCTGGGACCTCTTGCCATATGGTTAACAGTGTATGCTTTGTATACTTCATACTTAATACAATTCTTGTGAATGAAAAGACCAAAGTAGGTTCTGCCTTGGTTTTTGGGTTTATATTGCTTTAAAGAGAAAAAAAAAGTGATGCTGCACCTTTAATTATTCATATATTTTGGGGTAATAAAGCCTTTGTGTTTTATTATTTATAATTTTCTACCACTCTGGGGGAAATATGTTGCTTATCGAGTCTCAAGCCCTTAAAGAAGATCTACACCCAAGTCAGTAACTGCTTTTGTAAGCTTCAACATGCTAACATATTTTCAAAAGTAATCTTCAATTATCGTTAAGTTTGTAGCTTTCATTAAAATAAGACCTGGCCATCATGCCATGAAGGCCCAACGCTGTCTCCCACTTCTGCTCCTTTATTGCCACCTTGTTCTGATGGAGAGAAGTGGCTCTTTCCAGGGGTGTAACTACAATTCATGGGACCCCATAGCAACATTTTGACGGCCTCTTTCCGTGACACCTGGCAGTCACAATTGGCACAACAGTATAACTGATCCTAACATAAAGTAAAGGTAAATCAAGGATGGGCAGCTTTACCATCCCATTTACCACTCCAAGCAACGAGTGCTGAACATTGGGGTGTAGTAGTCTAAACAAAAAAGAATGAACAACCAGAAGCTCTAAATGCAATAAATCTACTCACAGATGGAAGGGTGCAAATGAGATCTGTGACTAGGGACAGCATGATCTTAAAGCATGATCCTGTGTATCTGACCTCTCCTAGAATGGTGACATCAGACAACCTCCTTAGTGGGGCCCCCATTCCCACCCTTGGGCCCAATAGCAGCCGCATTGGCTTCTATGGCTATAGTTACACCACTGGCTCTTTAAACACACATTAAGCAGACGAGGTCCACTGTTGTTACCATCAGAAATCCTGCCCTGAGAGACTATGCATTTCTCTGGGGTAAGGCCCCTCTCGTTGTTGTGGCCCCATCAGGATGATACCTTAAAATCAAGCAACACTATGAAGTTCCTTGTTCTGGCACTTTCTCTCTCCCGGTTGTGATGCTGTACAACTGCACTTTGATATCTTTACTCCAGACCTCGGTCCCCCCAGGTGTGTAAAGAGTCATATACTGCATATAAATATGGAATATTGAAAAAGGAGACTTCCTGGTCCCGTTGCAGTAGGTCACGTGGCATTTGTCAGAAGTATCTGTGTTTGAGGCAGAGATGTTGATTGATTGGCTCTGACTTGAATGCCACCCTTTGGCAAAGACTACATGAGCTCTGGCTAAGGCTATCAAGCAGCCTTGTGACATCATCCGTCCCTCCTCTCAACCTCGTTCAATCAGAGAACCCCTTGTCTTCATTAAGAAGCATACACAGCCTTCTTGCACTGGTGGCGGTGCCAAGCGAGGGATTCCCCGAGCTCTGTGTACGGAGGGGAACCTGGAAGATCACAGCAATAACTGTATGTAGCTTGGACCCATACAGTTCATACAGGTACTTACCAGTAAAACCGATTTGGAGCCACAGTCTCGCTCAGAAGAAGCCAACGTCTGCCAAACTCTGACGAACTGAACAACTGAAAGAGAGACAAAACCACGAGTAATACTAATGTGTGCATGACATACATTATAGGACACTACCGAAATAATATTATTTAACAAGAAGCGTCAGTGAAGCTTCGTACTGAATTCAGAAAGTCCACTTGGTGTACCCAGTGAGACTCAAGTGACGCCTCTGACTTTACCAAAGGGTCGCACATGATAATAAGTAGGGTTGCACCAAATCCTGTTTTTTCTGTATGAGTACTGATACTTTTTTTCGGTACTCGCCGACACCGAGTACCGCTGCCGTGTGCCCAGATTTTCAGGAAGTCGGGCGGCAGATCATGACCCGTCGCCCGACTTTCTGCTTGATTGTGAAGCCGGTGTTCTAGCAAAAGAACACCGGCTTCACATTCCGGGGCTGCCTGGCTTCCTGATCAATCAGGAAGCTGGACGGCTAGTCATGAGGTGCCATCCGGCTTCCTGGTCAGGATGCCAGGATGCCTAGAAACAGGTGAAGCCGGTTTCCTAGCCAACCAGGAAGCCGGGTGCCATGCCATGACCAATCAGGAAGCCGGGTGGTGGGTTATGACCTGCTTCCCGGCTTCCTAATTGGCTGTGAAACCGACGTCACTTGTTGCTAGGTAGTGTGGCTTCCTGACCAATCAGGAAGCTGGGAGGTGGGTAATGATGTGCCGCCCAGCTTTTCAATTGGTTAGGAAGCCAGACTGCCTAGCAACAAATGAAGCCAGCTTCCTAGCCAATCAGGAAGCCGGGAAGCAGGTCATAACCTACCACCCGTCTTCCTGATTGGAAAGGAATCCGGCTCCATGCTCCCTCGTCACTTGTGGTCAGAGTGAGAACTCCCTCTGACTGGACGTTCTGGTATCAGAGGTAAGTATCGGAGCATTTGGGTGAGTACGAATACTGATCCAAATACTCAGTATCGGTGTATAATAAGTATAATAATACGTGAATGTAATGATACAGAAAGCGTACACAAAGTACAAAGTAATGCAGTGGGGGATGGTCAAAGACTATAGGCATGTTTCAAGAGATGGTCAGAGACTACAACCTTATTTCCTATGCTCCTCAGCTCCACCTACTGGCCATAATGCAGCATTACATCACAATACACCCGACCTGATAAGAAAATCTATTTGCAACGTTCGTGTTTGCCATCATTCGCACAAAATGAATGTTCACAGATATTTGCAGGATGAGAGGTCCTGCAAATTGTTTATAAATAGACCCCATAAGTGTAATTTCTTAAGTGCATCAACCCATAGGTACCTAAGAGTGAATTCTGATCAGTGGCTACGGTTTACTGTATTTAAATTTGCAATAAAGATCTTTTTCTAGAAACATATACTATATATCCCTTTAAAAGCAACAGACATATGCATGTATTTTAGCTACTGCTGCACCTCTGAAGTCTTCGGTGAGTAGATGTGCATCGGGGGAAAAAAAGATCTAACCTCCCATGATACAATGCCAGTTATCCTTGCTCCTTTCCTGCATGAGCTGTGCCATCTGTGTGCATGGTGTAATGGACATATTTTGGGCCTGTTCCGAGTTGGCACAATAGCTGCTTTTCCCATTGAGAGAATGTAAAGCTGAAGTGTTAATTAGTTGTATTGAATGATTTTCAAAGGCTCCAGTCTAACAATATTCTGCTTTCCCATTAGAGCGGAGTCCTCGCATGCAGCTCACCTTTTGGTCTTGGCTGTAGGCCAGGATCCAGTCTTCTTGCTTGGGATGAAACAGGAGGCTCTGTATGTAAAAATTGAGCCGGTACTTCTGGTAGGTGGCCCCTTCGTCAGAACTAATTAGCAGGCTGCTCTCGATCTCGGGGTCGGTAAGCAGCATGATCTGCAGAAAGAGAGACATGAGAGTGTCAACACGGCACTTCCTCAAAATAAAATAAAAAGGTAATAAACAGTAATATAATAATCCGGGCATAAATAATAGCTTTTAAAGTGATACTTTTGTCAACAAATGGAAACAAAAGGAATACAATATAACAACTTTACCAAACCTTTATGTCAACTCAAATAACACTCAATACTTATTAGATTTAAACATGCAATAATATGGATTCAGAGCCTGCTCTCATTTCGACCCCCGTTCTCCCTGCAACACAATATCAATTGAAGGCTGCTGGAAAAAAATAAAGTACAATCACAGTGTTCTTTGATAAAAGCCAAACCGTTCTATACACAATTTAAATCCATTTATGTGAAATATTGTGCCTGCAAGACAGTGGCATATCCAGGGTATGAAAACAGCCCTAGGCACCAATTAAAGAGGGGGGAGGGGGCTCCGTGTATTAGTAAATGTTCCCCGACCCACAGAGACAGCTGATGTCTTGTCTCTCATTACCCCTCTCCCATGCACATCTCCTTGCTCATCTCTTAGCAACCAGGGAATCCTTGACTAGTGTCCTGACCAGCTTATGGCAACCAGTGATGTCACTGGTTGCCAGGAGCTGGGCAAGACACCGGCCAGAGTGATCCAGGTTGCTAATAGCCATGCCAGGAGATGTTTGAGGGCCATACACATCTCTCTGCTGAGCTCTTGGCAACCAGACCGTACAAGGAGATGTGTATGTGGAGCTGGAGACTGGCCAGAGCATTGCAGGTGGCCAAGAGCTGGGCAGGGAGATGTGTATGGCATTTACACATCTCCTAACATGGCTATTAGCAACCTGGGACGCTCTGGCCGGTGTCTTGCCCAGCTCCTGGCAACCAGTGACATCACTGGTTGCCAGGAGCTGGTCGGTACACTGGCCAAAGAGTCCCTGATTGCTAAGAGCTGGGCAGGTAGACGTGCATGGCCCTTACACATCTTCGCCCAGCTCTTAGCAACCGGGGATGCTCTGGCCAGCGTCGCAACCCCACATACACATCTCCTCATACGCTCTGGTTGCCAAGAGCTGGACAGAGAGATGTGTATGGCCCTTACACATCACCTGGCATGGCTACCAGCAACCTGGGACGCTCTGGCCGGTGTCTTGCCCAGCTCCTGGCAATCAGTGACGTCACTGGTTGCCAGGAGCTGGTCGGTACACTGGTCAAAGAGTCCCTGATTGCTAAGAGCTTGGCAGGTAGATGTGCAATTCCCTTACACATCTTCGCCCAGCTCTTAGCAACCTGGAATGCTCTGGCCTGCGTCCCACCCCACATACACATCTCCTATACGCTCTGGTTGCTGAGAGTGGGGCAGGAAGATCTGTATGACTCTTACTTACACATCTTCGCCCAGTTCTTAGCAACCTGGAATGCTCTGCCCGGCGTCCCACCCAGCTCCTGGCATATCAGGAAGTTGACATTGGTAAAAGGATCTTACATTAGCTTTCATGTTCTACTCGGGTAGAAAAGAAGATGGTTACAGCAAGAAGTAAAAACAAATGAGACATTGTATACACTGTTTATGGTCGTACGCCAACAGCCTGATTTTTTTTCTTTGTTTTCCAGCAGCGCTATAATATGATTGATAGCTGAGATCTGATTAGTTGTTATGCCTAACTACTTGCAAATTTCCTTTGCAACAGTGTAAATCATTTTTAATGCCTCTCAGTGTTACATTGAAGAACTCTAAGGATGAGTTACTCTTCAAAGCCCAGTTCCATTTCTCCATCAAATTTTATGCTTCAAAATAATGTCTGTTGTCATAAGGAAACTACAGGCGCGCAATCTCGGATTCAATGAAGGATTGCAGATTGCGAACGCAGTCCTAAGAGGCTGCAAATGCTATACGATGGTAGGCCAGTGCAATATGGGCTTGGAAATCTTGTGCACTTCATGCAGTTCTGCAAGCGTTCGCCAAAGTCACTTTGTTTAGAAAAACACCCTTAAGTCCAGTTATGGATTGATTAAAAAAATGATTCAGAACATTTTAAACACAGCGAGTAAAGGGAAAGCATCTGCTCAATGCAAAACTAACATTTCAATGTGTAGCGGCTTCTGGGATGTTAAACCAAATAACAGTTTCTCTCTCAAAGGACTCTATTAGTAAGATGGCCTTGGGGGTCACTTGGGGGTCTAAGGTACCCTTCTGAACTCTTAAAATATATGTAAAGCTTAAACGTTTTTGTTTAAGGGGCTAGGTTGCTCGCTTCATGTTCCAGAGGTTCACATGAAGTGGTCCCTGTTGTCCATTTCTATGAGTTCTTGATGGGTGTCTAAAAGTAGATTTATTTTTCAGATTTGAATAGAATGTGGAAGGGTTTTGGATCTCTTGTAGCGGAACATGTTTTCATAAGGTCCTAACTGAAATTGGGGGAATGATGCTCCTTAGGTAGGAGTGTTGAACAAAGGTTGGCTCTTTGCTTGAGCAGGGACTGGGTGTGCCAGGGAGAAAGTTTCAAAAATGTAACGTATAAAGGCCAGATTTGATTTGATTTGATTCAGATTCTTATATCATAAAAATCCAACAGGTTTTGAGACTTCAAAGGTTCCCCCTTGATCAGAGCTTGGTACTGTTGAACAAAGTGTCTACCTGACTAATTAAATTGGAGGGACCCTGTGTCAGGTGCTTGTCTGGCAAGCACCTGTTTTTTGGCTGTGGGGATTTGAAGCTGGGTCTCTGGGGTAGAAGTACTGAGGCATTGCCTTTCAGCCACAAGGAGGACTCACCTTTGCACTGCAGATTTCTATTCAGCAGCTTTTCTCTGGTCTTAGCTCCACCTGCTTGCCAGCTGCAGTCAATCAACAATCATCTAAGCCTTTAAATACTGAGCACTTCCTGTGCTCTGAGCCTCTTTATTTGGGTTTGTTCCTGTGTGTACTGCTGCTGGATTGATCGCTGAATATTACTGAGACTTTGGTCTGTTTCCTGACTACTCTTCTGCCTGCCGATTTTGTACCTCGTTGTTTGTTCGTGTTAGACCTCGGGCCTCTTTCTCGACTACTCTCCTGGATCCTGATTTTGAACTTCACTGCCCGTCGGTTGCTGACTCCGATTGCCTGACACCACCTAGCCTTATCCTCAGTCTCACTCCACTTCGGACTCTACCTTTCCACAGGTACCTTACACAATGGTGGGTAATTGGTATGGTCATTCTAGATGCCGTTTAAGCCTGGTGAAGAGGGACCCTTTAAACTCCTGAAGCCTGTAGGATTTTTATGATATAAGGATCTGAACCCTATTTATTGGGTCCTGGTGACCATTGTCTCCAGTAGATAAAGTAACGGGAGATCCAAAATGTATGTTAAGTTAGTATGTCAATAGGCAAAAGTTTTTTTGCTGGATCTCTTATAGCTGTAGGTGTTCTCATAAGGTCCTAAGTGAAGTTTAGGGCATGATGCTCCTCAGGTAGTTCTCCTAGGACTGGTGACCAAAGGTCAGCTCTTTGCTTGAGTAGGGACTGGGTGTGCAAGGAGGAAAGTTCCAAAAATGTAACACATAAAGTCCAGATTTAATTTGATTCATATTCTTATATTATAAACATCCAACAGCTTTTGAGAGTTTAAAGGGTCCCCTTGATCAGAGTTTGGTACTGTTGAACAAAGTGTGTACCAGACTAATTTACCTGGAGGAACCCTGAGGGTTAATTTGTATGGTTACTCCAGATGCCGGTTAAGTCTGATGAAGGAGGAACTTTTTCACCTCCGAAAAACATTGAATTTGAACAATATAAGAATCTGAACCCTGTTTATTGGGCCCTGGCGACAATTTTATCTAGTACATAAAAATAATGCGAAATCCAACATTTTTGAGTTGTCACCAGAACAGGAATAGATAGTCAATCTTCTAAGGGTTAACCCTGTTCTGGTGACAACTGTCTCAGAGGGAATATCTCCTTGCATTCTTATTGCTGTGTCTCTGGGACAGAAATTGAATGAAAATCTCCACGATGTGATGCAGAAAAAAAAGCCTCTTGATAGTAGACATGTGCGATTCGTTTCGTTCCGAATCGAAATTCGGACGAATTTTCGGAAATTCGGACATTCGGATGTATCCGAATTCCGAATTACAGACATAACGAATGCAAACGAATCCGAATTTCCATTTCCGAAATTCGGTAGCGGTAGTTCGAACGTTTGTTTCGTATTCTGTTCTTATTCGTTTCGTTCGTTGGAGCAAAGTGACATTAGAGAAGGAGAAAAATATTTTTCCCACTCAAATGTCACTTTGCTGCAAACGAACGAACGAAATGAATAAGAAACGAATAAGAACAGAAAACGAAACGAACGTTCGAACTACCGCTACCGAATTTCGTCCGAATCCGAATTCCGAATCCGAATTGACTTTCACACCCGCATCCCGAAAAAGAAATAACACAAATCCGAATTTAAAACGAAACGAAACTAAACAAATGTTTTGGCAGTGCACATGTCTACTTGATAGGGAACTCAACTCTATCCAAAATAAAAAAAATAGCTGCTAATTTTAATTCAGTCCATCAGACTTCATCTACAGTCACTTCTGGGACACTTTCATAATCATACCAGCATCAACATGGTACAAGGTCACTTAATTAGAAATCCGCATTTCCACGATCAAAACAATCATCACACGGCAGAACGCACGAAAACACAAGACAGACGTTACCTGTCCCAGGACACCGAGAGGAAAAACACAAGCCAACAACTGGAACAAATAACGCCTACGGGGGATATGTTGTGTTGTTAGATAACTTCTGGGAATCCAATAACAGATATGTTAATCGGCTTACATGGGAGGTGGGATGCTTTACAAGACATAGATGGCTGATTAAGTCAATTTGTTATTCCCATTGTGTAGGATGCGCCATGAATGCGATGAAGAAGAGTATGAATATATAAATAATTGATAGATGTCAACTCAAAACAACCAGCCTGGACAAGTCAAGGAGAACTCCGACAAGGACAAAAGTCTACATTTTCTTA